GAAAGAAAATCGCTCGGCGAGGACAAAAATGCTTGAAAGGGGGTAAACAACGATAAAACGCATCGGAATGGCGGGTCGGGGGGCTGCAAGAAAGCAAAAAATAGGCAATTGTTCCGGGTTCATGGCCCCGGAAATCGTGGTTATCCACTATCCACTTATAGCAACATATGCCCAACATGCCCCCATACGAATGAGAGAGAGAAATTTACTTTACGCCGCTAACCTTCACCCCTTTAAACCCTCAAGTCCGAATCGGGTTGTGAGCCCGATCGGAAAAAACCGACGGGGCTTATATCCCAAATGATTCCTGACTATATCCCAGATTTACCTGAACATCCAGGTTGCGTGGGGATCCCGCTTTTATGCATTTTACAAACTCATAGCAGAGTGTTATTGCCTTTGATGTCATTTACTATGATAGATGGACCACTTTGGCAGCCATTTTTGGGGTATCGGGTTTGGGTTGACACATCTTACGACTAGTCGTACAACCGTTTCTTTTGGCAACACCAAAACACTTTAGAAGTTCCCACCCAAAAACACGTGTTACTATTACCCTTTCCAAATTCGCCCACATTTTTTTGGCCCCCGCTACTTAGCAATCTCTCTCTATGAAAATTTTGAATTCCGGCCATCCCGGTATGTTGACAATTCAGCTAAACAGTTGGAGGCATTTTGTTCATGCTGGAACTTCATCAGTCTATACCAGACAGGGTATGTACCCTTGCATCCAGGCCAGGTGTGAACCAAATCTCAATTAAGTTTCTCCCTTTATAACGGTCAAATTTTGAAATATTCATGCAATTCTTCGGAAATTTCATTCGTCTGTTTTTATATGTCTTCTCTTTCACCATTTTTTAATCTCAATCAGGCAACTCCTACTCGGTGCGTCATTTTATTATTTTTATTTTTTTTATTTTATAGAGTGTAACGGTAAGAAATGTAGCATCATATTGGGAGAGAAAAAAAGTGTTAAATATAAAAATAACAAATATTTTCTATACAAATTGAAAACAGTAGAACAGTTGCTAATAACACTTTCCCAAAAGTCAAAATACACTTAAAATAATTAAATAGAGTTATGTGATGTAATAATTAAATTCATGAAACAATACATGACGATAAATATAACAGTACATTTTTCCATCAAGAAAATTTAATAACTTTAATAACTTTCCCTACCAAAAATGCGTTGATTTTATGCAGCAACAGTTTCTATATCAGGGCAATATTTGTTCTTGGAAAAAAAGAAAAAAACTAAATTATCATAAAAATATGACTATCAAGAAAAGAAAATGTGCTGCATGGGGTATTTTGTTTAACATGCATCTTTCCATAGCTAAAATTTTGAAAATTAAATAAAATTTATAATGAAGAAAACATCCAATTTGCTTGAATATATTTTAACAATCAGAAATCATACATGTATTTCGTTGTGAGCATTTAAGAATATCTTGCATATCCAATTAATCTTCTTCCTTGGTAATTAAAGATTCCATTCTGCGTCTTAATTAAAAGGAAGTCACCTATAAAACATAGCGTGAATGCTCAGATGCGTTTCAAAGCCTTTAATCCACGTGACATTGTTCGGAAACCGGCCGTTAATGCTTTGACGGAATGTATTGAGTTATCTAAACGAAGGAGTAGTGGCAGATTGGCTCCTTTTAATGGCTTTGCTGGAACCTATGTATTCGAATCCAAGGAATCAATTAAATGGTTCGGTAAGCTATTGACAAGCAGTACTTAATCTTAATTTTGCGAAGTATCTGGTTGGATGATTGTAACTAGTTGAAGAAAAGGAGCCATTAATATTTGTTAATTCAAGCAATTGGGATATTTAAAATTGAAGACTGAACTATTTAAGTAAAAAAAATGAAAAACAAGAAGAAAAAGGAAGAAAAATTTTATTTTAGCTACTTTTTATCAAATCATTACAATTAATATATTAATATAAATATGTATATACGTATAACAGAATCACACTATTAAAGTGACAATTAATATTTTTCAATTATCATTAAAATATTCTCTTCCAAATATTTCCAAATATAAAATTTCAGTTTAAATGAATGCTTTAAAACGTAAAAAAAAATATTTTAAAGTTTTGAGCCGTCGCTAAAAATGAAAAAAAAAACGTGACTCTGTATCTGTAATTCTTTAAATAATTAATTTCAATCAATTAATTTTTATCAATTATAATTACATTACCGTATTCATCCAAAATAATCGTGTATATAAAATTTCAGCTCAACTAGGCTTTTTAAAATATATTTTGTTAAAGATTAAAAATTTATAAGATTTATATTTATATATAAAAATTATATATATATATATATATATATATATATATATATATATGGATTTTGAGAACTATTAATAGGAATTGCAAAAAATCAAATGGTTTTGGTTTTTATTATAATTAATCAGACATTTAATGTCATTTCTCCGATTCGTTTATTTTTTTCATCAACATTTCATAAAGTACAAGTATTTCAAAACTTCTTACAACGAAGTTTTAGTAATATGTGTCATTCTAGATAATTTTTTTTTTAAATTTATATAATTTAAATCAAGGATATATATATATATATATATATATATATATATATATATATATATATATATATATATATATATATATATATATATATATATATATATATATATATATATATATATATATATATATATATATATATATATAATTTTTTCTAGAAGGAGTTGGGAGGAGGGCCAACACATTTTTTCTTGAATTCTTTTACTTGATAAAATGTTATTTAAAATTTGATAAAGAGAAAAAATGATTCGAAATAAATTTATTCTTTTTGTCATTTGAATCTCAGGATGCGTCAAAACAAAAATCAATCCTCACAGTTCAAAGAAATTCAAAACAAACTCAATGAAAATAAAACTATTTGGTAAATTAAAAAAAACAATTCAGCTATCTTGTGATATAACGAGCAAAATATTCACAACAAATATCGGTAATTACTATCTTCAAAATATAAAGTATTTGAAATTTTCCTTTCATAAAATGCAAATACAATATTCAAACAAATATTCGGTATATACAAAAAAAAAAAAGTAAAAGTTTGGGAATTTCTCAGTTGGAGAAGTGTCTTCCTGGAAAAACTGGAGAGCATAAAGTTGAAATCTGTATTTCATGACTGACAGTAAAAAAGAATACTGTGACATTACTATCTTTGAATTTCGCTTTTGAATTCGACTTTAGGGGTCTGAAGTTAAAATTTTTTGAATTCATATTTACACACGGTACTTTCTTATATAAAAGGAAATTTCAGAATCTTTTCTGTATTTCCCTGATTTTCTTGAAATTTCTTTGAATATACCCTTTTTACCCTTTTTATTCTTTTCATTCTTTTTTAATTAAGTTTGTTCTTTTTATAATAAAAACAGTAATATGATCTTAAGAATAAAAGTCTAAAAGAAATTCATAGTATAAAATCCGTGTTCTTTTCAGATATTTCGCAATAACTAAATAATGGAAATTATTTTTGCAAAGACTTTAAATGCTTTGTCCTAAAACGATTTTTTGCTTCATTATCAAGAAATTCTTCGAAAAACGAAAATATATATATACATAAATAAACAAATCATTTATAATATTCTAAATTATTTTAATATTAAAGAATGTACAATAGCATTGCAAGATAGAGCTGCGCAAAATAAAATCTCCACATTAATGATGCGATAGGAAACATATAGACTTAGGATTAATTTATCAATTGTCTATTAATGTCGCATACTGCAAAGTTATACGAGAGATATTTAGTTAGTAATGTTGTGATATGCTCATTCTATGGCGACCATATCTTTGATTGTCAGCGTGAATTAGAGGTGTGGGATTCTCGAAATGAATCGACATTTTAAAATTCTTAATATGACTTTATTAAGAATATAACTTAAATTTCTAATAAATTAGATAAACTTATAAAAAGTGAAAATAAGCCAAACACACAGCTGTAGTTAAACCTGATCGCGTAACTTTGATCACTTATCTAAATAATTATATTATCCGACTCTACATTCAATTCTGATAATATTACAAGTTCTAATATCAAATAATAGGTCCTACCTTGAAGCAAGCTAAGGTTCAATCACTTTCAGAGAGACTTTTAGACACGCGTGCAATAGTGTGCACCTTGTAGTAATGGCTAGGAATCTGGTAATCTTTGGTAGGCCGTCAATTCACACTTCTATCTCTTCTAAACATAACTTTCTCTAAATTGCCATCCCGCTTACTAAAACTTCTGTTCTTTTAAAGGCTATCTTATTTGCATTTACAATTGCAATTCACTTCTTGGATTTTGGTTGGAAAAGATTTGCCATTAATATTTGCCGTCAAAGAACCCAGAGGTTATGTTACAGAAAAGACGCGGGAGCCCGTCACAATGTATGGTGACGAGAGGACCCTAACATTTTGTGAAGTAATGAGTTTAACACATGAGTTAGCCCCCTATTCTCTAAACTTCTACACCAGGAATCAACAATATATGGCACGCGGTGCATTTTTCGCGGTGGACAGTCCACACCACAAAATTATGAATTAAAGTTAAATCGCTCTGCGTCTCACTTCTCTAAACCTAGAGCGTTTTTATTTAAAAAAAAAGCCTATTACTACTTCCCAATTCTGTCATAACATAATTCCTGCTGGATCTCTGCTTCGGTATAGTTTGTACACTTTATGGGGGGAAAATAAAATAATTTAATTCTTAATTAGATTAACAAAGAAAAATATTATTTTAGTTAGTTTTTTTTAAGTAGTTACAATTAATACAATATGTATATACATATGAATGAATCACAATATCAAGTGACAAAAATAGGAAGCGATTTTCCTTGCAATTCTCCATTTTCCTTTTTATGTAGGATGTTGGACAATTTTTTTTTCTGTTTGTTACTATTTATTCATTCATTAAATTTAATTATTCTAATAAAATAGCATGGTAGAAAAGAAATCGCATTCACAAAAATTTGGCCATACCAGGTGGGATTCAATCCCACGAACGTTGTATAAGAAGTCCAACGCGCTATCCATTGCGTTACATGGAGACAATGAACAATTTTCTCTTCTTTTCATGCTGTGGGACTATTATTTTTGTTTTCTATTATTTATTCATCTTTTAATTGAATTGATGAATTAATATTTTACAAAACTGTATTAGCACTAAGTGCCAACCACCACTACAAGTTAAAAAAAATGTATTTGAACTTGAATGGATGCATAGAAAGTATTTCATTAAAGATTGAAAATTTTAACAATATATATATATATATATATATATATTGTTACGAATTTTATGTAAATAGTGTAAATAATTTGTATCTGGATTTTTAAAGCATATATATTACTCTATGTTATATTTATTTTATGTTAAAATTGTACTATTCACAAGCAAACGCCGTCCTTTACGATATAATGGCGATTCAATGAGAACTTGACGAAATCTTGGCGATAGAGCCAAGTTGGCATCATATTTAACTAGAAAGTAGTGGATATCGCCACTAACTTCACGCTCAATGACGTGTGCGGATTTTTCTGGAATTTTTCATCGGGTTTATAAATAGAGTAGTGCCAGCCGCAACCAGTCAGTCTGATTTCAACCAGAGAGAAGTGAGCATAGTTTTGACTAGCGATTAACTGGGCTGTGCTTATGAATATTCTTTTACATACGTATATTTTTAAACACTGATGATTGTGTTTGAGTGCTATGGAAGGTGTGAACACCTTCTGGGATTTATTCTGTGAATATTGTTGCTAAATCATGTATTTATAGAATTGGATTTCCGATAATAAATTCGCATCGCTCTTAAAAAACTGTTATTTTTATTTGTGACCATTTTGTATAAAATCCTCGAACCGGGATCTGCGTGACAATATATATATATATATATATATATAAGGAGAGAGTGAATTAAGTGTAGGAATTGAAAAAACATCTTTTGTTCATATGCGATTCATTCTTAGTGTTGAATATCCAATGCAAATCTAAGTATAATTGTGTTATAATTTCAAAGGAAGCATCAGTCATAATTGTGTTGTAACAAAAAACAAGGAAGAATTATATTTTATGTTCATTGAAAAATATCTTGAAATGATGCATAATTAATATATAGAAAAACCATAAACCTATGTTTTTGACATCAATTCCCAACTCGATGTACATTGCCGCAAAAATCTAATTGTTTTAAATATTTCGACTGCATGGCAAACCACAACTGTGGTTTGGCACACCATCCTGTTCCACACCATTTTAACTTGTGAACTAGGAGACTCGACAAATATAACACACATCAACAATTCTAAATTCCATTCAAAATAAACTGCAGGGTTGAACAAACATACAAAACGCGTGAACTGTCCACTTTATTTGCCTGCATTACTAGGCAAAAATAAAATAAGAGAAAACACAGTTTCAAATGTAAATATAGAAGTAATATAGAATTAATTTCTAAAATATTAATCACAATAATTTTATACCATTAAAATTTTTCAGAAATTAATTTATTTTCTTACCAGTAAATTAAAGTTCTAAAATTGATTTGTAAGAATTTCAATCGCTAACAACCAAAAATTACAAAAAGTATAGTACATGGATTTCCTAAAAAAATTCAAAACAGTCTAAATAGCAAGTTTGCTTAAAGAAAATAATTTTCTGGACGTATTAAAGCGTACTCTATTTTTCTGATCGTACTTTATTTAAAACTGAGTATTAATAATTCAAAGATTTAAATTTCATGTCAAAATTTATAATTTTTTAAAAAAAATTAAAATGGCATACAACGGAATTGATTAATAATTTCTTTTTTAAGCAAAAAGTATTTTTATAAATTAAAAGAAAAAAAACTGATTAAATAAATCGGTCACCTAATTTTAATTAGTACACATTGTACGCATTACGTTATAAAAATAATAGAAGATATAACATGAAGACATTAAGAATATTTTTCTTGAATGGGAATGTCTAAACCAGGGGTGGGGAACCCATGGCATAAAGGCCACATATGGCCTTCGTAATTCCTTCATGAAAACCAGCATTTATGATAATTAATATTTAATGATATAAATTACAGCTATTTGCAAATCAATGGAATTAAATAAAGGATGACATGAATGTATATATGTAAGAATGACTAATTGAAGGAATAGTCAATTGTATATTTCAAATATTAGAACGCCACTTGTGCAACACGGTAACACTACTAGACATGTTATGTGACCTGTACAAAAACTATTTTCTTACTATTATTGTTGTGGATAAAACTGCATGGACGTTAAAACGCATTACTTTTTCTACACGAATGGTATTTGAATATTAATGAAGTGTTTTATTATAAGTTTCTGTTCATTGAAATACAACAGTTATAAATACATATATAAACAGTTGTGACTTGTTGAGCATCAAATATTCATACTCATTATAATAATTTAATTATTTTATATGAAATTAATAATTAATGATTAATGTCATAACAAGGTTTTACTCTTATGTGAATACAAAAATGTTTTATAATGTAACTTTTTTATTTTTTTTTGTAATATTTATATACACCAAAGGGTTAAAACTATACAAAAACTATAACAAATTAATAAAAATCACATTTATAGGTGTATCAACCTATATAACTTAATTTACATGAGGCCTGTTAAGATAAAAAGGTTCATCCCCTCTGCGCGATCAAAACAATTTCCTAATATTTTTTAAAAAAGTATAATTTTATTTGAATACCGATTTTTTCATAGTATCACCGTCGTATTCAAAGATAGAGAGAGAAACTATCTGTTAAATCAATTCAATAGTAACGACTACGTTGTACAGTTTCCATGGAAACCAAGTCATTACTTTATAAGATAGATATTTGTTACAACAATTCTATTTCTTATTTCCCGACAAGAAAACAGTGAATTTGTTTGAAACACGGAGAAATGTACTTTATCCTTACAAATATTTGCATATGAATTTTGATTCAGTAGGTAAAATGATGGTTCTATCTGAAAAGGGGTATAATTCTGGGGTTTTGCATACCTTACGCTATTTATAATCTTGACACAAATGGAAAATAAAGACGAAAGAAACGTATTGTTTGGAATGAATTTTTTTTATTTCTATATATATTGCCTTTTGTTTTACTTATTCCATGTTTCTCGGAGAAGTATTTGTTTTATATAATTTTCAACAGTAAAGATTTTTTTTCGGATTAAATTTTACAGAGAATTTAATTTATGTTACTTTATTCATCTATTTCAAAAATGTTCTCGATTATATTATTCATTACTTTTTAACAAGTTATTTTTCAAATGCCAGAAAAAATATCAAATCAAATGTTTATATATTGTTTGACAATTGTTAAAAAATAAGTGACTAAAGTAAAATAGCATCTCAGACAGCTGACCAATAAAAGTAATTTCAACTTCAGAGGGACCAGGACTCATTTTCTGTATAAAAGACAGTGCATACAAGCACATGATTCATACGCAACTTCATGGTGTTTGATGTTTAACGAAAATAGTGCTGGATGTTATAAAAGTTTCTTCTCCGAAATTCTGTTCGGTTCTTGCAATAATTAAGAGCAAAATGTCCGTAAGGCATCTTTTGAGAGTTCAATCTTGGACGAGCAGTTGGACGACTGGAAGAAGGTCAGAGTTTCACCACTGTACCAAAGAGTGTCACCTCGCAATTAAAGAAAGTCGCTGGAGGTGGAAATGCTTTGCGAAATCATGTCGAAAGTGAAGATAAAAACACACCACACCTCTAGATGATCGCTTTGTAGCCCTCGTGGCACAAAGGAACTGAAGTTTCACTCCTAGCAAGATAGATGTAAACCTTACAACCACGACCGGTATGCATGTTTCAGCAAGAACCATCTCACAGAAAATAAAACAAGTGGGTTTGTATGCACAGAAGTCTGTTCGTTGCACCCCACTTAAGCCACGCCATCGTCAAGAGAGATTACGCTTGTGTAAGGAAAATGTTGGTCGGGGTATCACCAAAATTGGTCTAGAGATATATGCTCCGATTAACCTCGTTTCAGTGTGACAAGAGATAGTGACCACCATTTATTGTGGAGACAGCATGGAACACGTCATGGTCAAAAGTTTGTTTGTGAACGCGATCGGTACGGCCAGGTGGGGATGGTCTGGACAGGCATAATGTGAAATGGCAGAGCACAGCTTCGCATTTTAAGCGAGGAAGCGTTACATCGCAACTATTGCAGAAAGATTGTTCTGACCTATGACTGTATATTTAGGGGAGTTATAGGTCCAGACTTTCTGTATATGGTTTATAATGTGAGGCCACACAGAAGCAATGAGGTATCGAACACAATGCAAAGTGAAAATATACTCCGTATGCAATGATCTGCTTAATCTTTCGACAAAAATCCTATTAGACATATCTGGAAGGCTCTTGGCAGACGTATTGTACAAAGAGCTATTCCTCCCAGTACAGTGCAAAAGTTCAAAATCGCCTTGAGAGAGGAGTGAGACAGTACTATTCAAGTTCTCGATAGTTTAATGAAGTGTCGGAGGAACAGATGCAAAATGTCTTTTAGTGTCTGTGGTCAACACACATCTTACTAAGGCAGTGCTTCTCAAACTTTCAATACTTGCAACCCAATTTTCAATCATGATTTTCAACGCGGCCTCCTCCATACAATAACAATGTATTGAATTCAATAATAACGTTCTAAAACCTACATGCTAAAGCTACAATATGACTTTAATTATAAACCGTACTAATTATCAAGATAAGTATTAAATTTTGTGTATAATTTTGTATATGACAAGCCCATGGAAGTCACTAATAATTATTAATCTTTTTCTTAACTTAGTATGGATAAATTAATTATAAAATATATTATGCTTTTTACAGATGCATTTATAAGTATATTATATCAATGTAAATGTGTTTTATTATGTCAGAATGTATTTTCTTTTGTTTCCTTTCAGTAAATTTGCAATTTTTTTTTTTGACTTATTGATATGCCCCCAAAGGCGAGAACGCCCCACAGTTTAAGAAACGCTGTACAAAGGTACTTATGTCTGCAT